TGGCCAAATTTCCAATTGGCCCTTACCAATCATGGCCTCCTAATAATCCCCCTCTATGAACTGGCTTCATCACTCTGCTCTCCTCCTCACTGAGAGCTGGTGTGTGGTGAGCGTTCTGGTGCACTATGGCTGCCGTCGCATCATCCAGGTGGGGCTGCACATTGGTGGTGGAGGGGATTCCCCATTACCTGTAAAGCGCTTTGAGTGGAGTGTCCAGAAAAGCGCTATAGAAGTGTAAGCAATTATTATTATTAATTATTATTGTGGGAAGACTGAGCTCAAATCTCAGTATGGGCAGCCAAAGTCACTGTCATGTCCAATCAGGGACGAGCCTGTACAGAACCGGCAGCACCCTGTAGCCTGGTCTGGAGAGATCTCAGAAGCCGAGTACGGCTGGGCCTGGCTAGAACTGGGATGGGAGCAAAGGAAGAAAAAGAAAACCAGGTTGTTGCTGTCAGTGCTGGTGGTGGACCAGTAGGTGGCGCTCTTACCCCTGCACCATAATCTTCAATCCAACCTGGTGCCAGGGGACACAGGGCCTCAGTTTAACGTCTCATCCTAAAGGCGGGACCTCCTACGGCACAGGTGGGATCACTAAAATTTCCACTGCAGTTTTCGTAGGAGCGGGGATGTTGGGATGAATTTCTGGGGTGCTATCTGTGTGGAGTTTGCATGTTCTTCCCCTTTTCTGAGTGGGGTTTTCCTCCGGGTGCCCCGGTTTTCTCCCACAATCCCAAGACATAGTGGTACGTTAATTGACTTCTGGGAAAAACTGGCCCTAGGTGTGTGTGTGTGTGTTTCTTTTGAGTCTGTGTGTGCCCTGTGATGGACTGGTTTCCTGTCCAGGGTGTAAATTCTTAAATGGATGGATGGAATGAATAGTGATATGAAATTGCAATGATGATGATGATAATAATAATTTGGATTATTACTGTTGTTGTAAATGAGGATGATGGCGGCTGTGTACCGTTCCTACGCTGACAGTATGCGATTTGTTCACTGGGATGGTCCTCAGGCACCCGGGAGGCGGCCTTCATCAGTGCCCTGTCCGCGGCCGCGGTGGCCGTCGCCGTGACCCGGGGCTGCAGCCGGGGGGAGCTGGAGAGGTGCGGCTGCGACAGGAAAGTCCGGGGGGTCAGCCCTGAGGGTGAGAAAACGGGCCGTTTTTCTGTACATGAGAGAGTGGTGTCACAGACTGCCCGTGTCAGTCTTCCCCAGAAACAGCTTGTCAGCCCTCTGGGTCTGGGGCTGTCCGAGAGCCCCCCTCTCACGTACTCTCAGTAAGTGGCAATGGACTGTTCGGTAGGTGGGTTAGATCCTGAAGGAAGGAAAACGAGGATGCTCGCCCCTGCCCTCCCACTGAGCCAATCATCCTTCGGTAATACAGCTCATGAAGGCAACAGGGGGACGAACGCACTAAAGAGCATTTGGCGTCACTCTCCCAGCTGAGGGAATGGCAGCTTGACCACAAGGATGAGGTTGACCAAATCCCCCCTTCACTATTGTGAGGAATGAGCTGGGGAGCTGCTGCAGGGGTGTAGACGGAGTGGCTGGAGGAGTGTGAGAGATGCACGAAGTGAAGTCCGGAGGGTGAGATATCTGTACGGAGGAGAGTGGAAGTGGGTGAGATGAGGGTCTGACCCTGTTCCCCAAACGTCTGATATCGATTCCATTAGTGTCTTGTCCAGTCACTGCATCAGCATTGACCTCTCTGTCTGTCAGGGTTCCAGTGGTCTGGGTGCTCTGATAACCTATCCTACGGGGTGGCATTCTCACAAACCTTTGTCGATGAGCCGGAGAGAGCCCGGGGCCTGTCATCAGGGCGATCGCTGATGAACATCCACAACAACGAAGCTGGAAGGAAGGTGAAGAATCCCATTATAGTCGATCAGTATTATATCGCTCTGTACTTCTAAGGCAGGGGATCTCCAACCCTGGTCCCAGAAAGCCCCAATCCAGCAGGTGTAATAGATAGCCATTAAAACAGCAATTTGTAAGTACTTGGAAGATTTGAGTTTTAGTCAATAGCAGGTGGTAAGTTAATTGGTTTAATGAATAAAGAAATAGCCAAGTGTGGTCCATGTGTGTACACTACCAACAGGGCATTGGAATATTTCTATTTCACATGATCTCTAAACTACTCCATTGATTCTACTTTAAGTGATCAAAATGCAATTGTTCCAGTTGTGTAGGAAGTGTTGATTTAATGGTAATTCAAAAAGCAAGGTATAGGGCATGCATTATTGTCTGTATTAACCTCTTTGAAATACGTATACAGTATCTCTAGTGTCTATATGAATCTCTGTGAATCTCTCTGTCTCTCTAGGGTTTGTACTAGTCTTTGTGTGTGAGACATGTCTATAAGGTCTATATTAGAATGTGCTTTAATCTCTGTGTGTTAGGAGTGTCTCTAGGGTCTGTATTAGGATCTGTATTAATCTCTGCGTGTTACATGTCTCTAGACTCTATATTAGGCTTTGTAATAGTCTCTGTGTGTGAGGTGTGTCTGTAAGGTCTATACTAGGGTCCATATTAATTTCTGTGTTAAGTCTTAAAGTCTGTTAATCTGTCTGTTATGTGTGTCTCTAGGCCCTTTATGAGGGTCTATATTAGTCTCTGTGTGGGAGGTGTTTCTCTAGGGTCTATATTAGGGTCTGTATTAATCTCTGTGTGAGGTGTGTCTCCATGGCCTTTCTGAGGGTATTATTAATCTCTGTGTGTCAAGTGTGTCTCAAGGATATATACTAGGACTGTATTAGTCTCTGTTAAGTCGATCTTTAGTGTCTCCTGTAAACACAAGTGTGATCTTCTGTACTGATGCTCCGCTCTCCCCCTGTATTCCTCAGGCTATCCTCCACAACATGCGCGTGGAGTGTAAGTGTCACGGCGTCTCTGGCTCCTGTGAGCTGCGCACCTGCTGGAAGGTGATGCCCCCTTTCCGGCGGGTGGGCTCGGTGCTGAAGGAGCGCTTCGACGGCGCCACCGAGGTGCGGGTCTCCCGCGTGGGCTCGCGCCGCGCGCTGCTACCCCGGGACCCCCTCGTCAAGCCCCCCTCGGCCCGCGACCTCCTCTACCTCGCCCCGTCTCCCGACTTCTGCCGGCTGGAGCCCCAGAACGGCATCCCGGGCACGGCGGGCCGGCGCTGCAACGGGACGTCGCGGCTGGCGCCGGACAGCTGCGAGGTGGTGTGCTGCGGGGGTCGCTCGCGGAGCTCGCGGGCCGAGGTGGTCCAGCGCTGCAGCTGCACCTTCTCCTGGTGCTGCTCGGTCCGCTGCCAGCAGTGCAGGAACACGGTCCTTCTGCACACCTGCCAGGACTGAGGCTGGCAGGGGGAGAGAGGGGGAAGGGGGCGGGATCGGGAAGCAGAGAGAGGGAGGGGAGAGGGAAAGATGGATGGGGGAGAGAGGTGGAAGGAAGAGGTAGAGGCAGGAGCGGGAGAGGAATAGGGAAGCAGAGAGATTGGGATAGGGAGCGGGATACGGAAGCAGAGAGATTGGGATA